TTAAAATGAAGGAGAGAATTCTAGAAGCAGCAAGAGATAAGGGGACAGTCACCTACAAAGGAGTTCCCATCAGGCTGTCAGCTGATTTCTCAAGAGAGACCTTACAGGCAAGAAGGGGCTGGAAAGAAGTACTCCAAGTCATGGAAGGCAAGGACCTACATACAATATTGCTCTATCCAGCAAAGCTTTCATTTAGAATGGAAGGGCAGGTAAAGTGCTTTTCAGATAAGGTCAAGTTCAAGGAGTTCATTATCACCAAGCCCTTATTATATGAAATGTTCAAGGAGTTCATTATCACCAAGCCCTTATTATATGAAATGATTTATCTTCTTTATCTAGGAAAAAGAAGATAAAAAATATAAACAGTGAAAAGACAGCAAACTCACAGTTATTAAAAACCTCACCTAAAATAAAAGCAAACAAGAGGACAGCTAGATCAAGAGCAGAACCATAGAAATGGAGATCACATGGAGGGCTAGCAACAGAGGAATGGGAGGGGAAGGGGGAAGAAGGTCCAGAGAATAAGTAGCATAGACGGTAGGTAGAAAATAGACAGGGGGAGGGCAAGAACAGTAGGGGAAATATAGAATCTAAAGAACTTGTGACACATGGACATAAACTAAAGGGGGGGATGATGGGGGAGTGGTGTGCAGGGTGGAGGGGAATGAAGGGGGAGGAATAGGACAACTGTAATGGCATAATCAATAAAATATTTTTTTAAAAAAGAGCTCAGAAATCAACCAGTATTTATATGGTAAATTAAACCATGACAAAGGAAGCAAGAATATAGAATGGAGTTAAGACAGTCTTTTCAGTAAATAGTGTGAAAATGGGACAGAATCAAACAAAAGAAACTGGGCTGGGATGGGAGTACAAGACAGAAAACTCTTCTTGAACAATAATTAAATTTAAAAAAAGAATTAAACTGGACTACTTTTTTATTACATACTCAAAAATGAACTCTAAATGGATTAAGGACTTAAGTGAAATACCTGAAACTGTAAAACTCCTAGAAGAAAACACATGAAGTAAAATTGTGGAATCATTATTAGTTATATATTTTCATGATATATCTTCAGGCAAAGGGTATCAAAAGAAAATAAACAAGTAGAACTACATAAGTTTTTGCACAGTGAAGGAAGCCATCAACAAAAAAAAGACATCTCATCGAATTGCAGAACTTATCAATGATACATATGATAAAGTAATTAATACCCAAAATATATAAGTAGCTCATACAACAACACCAAAAAACAATTAAATTAAAAAATGACCTGGCTGGTGTAACTCAGTGGATTGAGCTCAGGCCTGTGAACCAAACAATTGCAGTTCGATTCCCAGTCAGGGCACATGCCTGGGTTGCAGACCAGGTCCCAGTGGGGGACGCATGAGAGGCAACCATACATTGATATTTTTCTCCCTCTCTCCTTCCCTTCCCAAGATAAATAAATTTTTAAAAAATAAATAAAAATTAAAAATAAGGCTTGAACATACATTTCCTTAGGAAGGAGATACAGATGGCCAATAAACATATGAAAAGATGCTTAGACTTCCGCCAAGATGGAGGCATAGGTGGATGTGCCGTGCCTTCTCACACAACCAAGATTAGAGAAAACTAAATATTAGCAACAGAAAACACAGCCAGAACATGGAAAATTGAACTTTTTCAGAACAACAAATTCTTCAGCCTGACCAGTAAGTGGCGAAACCAGCGGCTGGCGGAGCAGGGTTGCACAGGAGGACTCGGCCAGACGGACTCAGGCCCGTGGAATCCAGGCGCAGGGTCGGACCTAGTGAGCGACCGAGTGAGCGACCAGGCGAGTGACCGCGGGGGAGACAGCGGGGCAGCGGGGCTGCGTGTTGACTGAGGTCGCCCATTTGTGCACGGGTGGACAGGCAAGGGAGTGGGCGGTTGGACCGGGCCGGCAGGTCCCCACGGCAGGCGGCAGTGGAGGGTGCCGCCATTTCCCTGCTCTGACCCCACCTCCACATACCCCAGCGACTCTGAGTGGCCCGGCCCAGGTGAACCACCTAAGGCACTGCTCCTCCGCACCCAGCTGTGAGAAGCGGCAGAGGGGGTTGCCATTTCCCCGCTCTGGCCACGCCCCCACATACAGCGTCACAACCCAGCGACCTGGGAATCCAAGGCGCCGCTTCTCACACTTAAAGGGCCCGAACAGACCAAGAATGGCGCAGGAGGATCTCAGCGCCCCAGAGCCAATAGATCTAAGCGATGAAGAAATAGCAAAACTCACAGACGCACAGTTTAAAACATTGGTGATCAGGATCCTCACAGAACTGGTTGATTATAGCGACAAATTAGACAAATATATGAAGGCGAAACTAATTGAAATGAATGGAATTGCACAGGACACCAATAGCAATGAAAAGGAAACTGGGACTCAAATCAATGGAGTGGACCAGAAGAAAGCAAATAATGGCCAAACAGAAAAGAGTCAAGAAGCAAGAATTCAAAGTAATGAGGAGAGTCTTAGGAACCACCAGGACATCTTTAAATGCTCCAACATCCGAATTATAGGGGTACCAGAAGGGGGAAAGGCACAGCCACCAGTGGAAAACTTATTTGAACAAATAATAAAGGAGAATTTCCCCAATCTGGCAAAGGAAATAGACTTCCAGGAAATCCAGGAAGCTCAGAGAGTCCCAAAGAAGTTGGACCCAAGAAGGAACACACCAAGGCACATCATAATTACATTAGCCAAAATTAAAATGAAGGAGAGAATCCTAGAAGCAGCAAGAGCTAAGGGGACAGTCACCTATAAAGGAGTCCCCATCAGACTGTCAGCCGATTTCTCAAAAGAGACCTTACAGGCAAGAAGGGGCTGGAAAGAGGTATTCCAAGTCATGAAATCTAAAGACCTACATCCAAGATTGCTCTATCCAGCAAAACTTTCATTTAAAATGGAAGGACAGATAAAGTGCTTCTCAGATAAGATCAAATTCAAGGAGTTCATCATCACCAAGCCCTTATTATATGAAATGTTAAAGGGACTTATCTAAGAAAAAGAAGTTAAAGAAACATGAACAGTGAAAGGACAACAAACTCACAGTTATTAACAACCACACGTAAAATGAAAGCAAACTAAAAGGACAGCTAGATCAGGAGTGGAAACATAGAAATGAAGATCTCCAGGAGGGTTAGCAACAGGGGAGTGGGAGGAGGAGAAGGGGGGAGAAGGTACAGAAAATAAGTAGCATAGACAGTAGATAGAAAATAGATGGGGGGACAAGAATAGCATGGGAAATATAGAATCTAAAGGACTTGAGACACATGGTCATAAACTAAAGGGGGGTAATGGTGGGGATGGAGGGTAGGGTGGAGGGGAATAAAGGGGGAATAGAAGAACTGTAACAGCATAATCAATAAAAAAGTTAAAAAAAAAGATGCTTAACATCACTAATCATCAGGGAACTAGAATGACAAACAAGATATCACCTCACACTTGTCAGAATGTCTATCATTAATAAAACCACAAACAACAAGTGTTGGTGAGGATGTGGAGAAAAGACAATCCTCATGCACTGTTGTTGGGATTGTAAGTTGGTGTACTCCTATGGAAAATAGTATGGAGATTTCTCAAAAAATTTAAAGTAGAACTACAATATGACCCAGCAATTTTACTTCTGGGTATTTATTTGAAGAAATCCAAAACACTACTTAAAAAATGCCTGCCTATGTTTATTGCAGTATTTTTAATAGCAAGATACAGAATCAACCCAAGTTTTCTGTGATATGTGAATGAATAAAAAGGAGTATTACATATATACAATGTAATATTACATGGCTAGGAAAAATAATTAAGTCTTGACATTTTTGACAAGATAAATAAACCTAGAGGGTATACAAATACCATATGATTGTACTTATATATGAACTCCAAGACAGAAAACAAATGAACAAATAAAACAGAAACATTCTCAGATACAAATAACAATTTGATGATGATCACACTGAGGGGGGTTAGGGAATAGGTGAAAACTGAAGTGAGTTAGAAATTATAAATTGGCAGTTATAAAAGTAGGCACAAGATGGAGAGTACATCATAGAGAGTATAGTCAATACTGTTAAAACTATTTATGGTGTCAGATTGAATAAACTTAGTAAGGTAAACACAACACATTTTAATGGAGGAGGAGTAAAATTGGAAGTCATTTTTTAATGGATATACAACTTCTGTTTTGCAGATGGATGGTGGTGATGCTTCCACAGTGTAAATGTGCTTAATGCCAATAAACAGTGTACTAAAAAAATTGGTTAAAAATGCCCTCACTGGTGTGGCTCAGTGGATTAAGCAAACTGAAAGGTCACCAGCTCAATACCCAGTTAGGGCATACACCTGGGTTGTGGACATGTGAGCAGCAAATGATTGATGTTTCTCTTGCACATCAATGATTTCCTCTCTCTCCCTCCCTTCCCCTCTCTCTAAAAACAAATAACATATTTTTTTAAATTGGTTAAAGATGTCAGCAACATGTCCACGTGGGAGCACCAAGTCTCTTTTCTTGAAGTTACAAGTTAAACAGTCATAATTTAACAAAGAACTTCCTTCTGAACACACCAGTGTGCCTGAGATATTTGCATATTCATACTACTAAAGGTTGGCCCATCTAAGCAAACAGTCGATATGGAAAGAAGAGATCAGAGACAGAAATCAAGTGCAGTCTCATGCTCCCTTTGGGGTGTGATAGCAGTAAAGGGTCTGAATGCACCCCCACTAGGCCAAGGGGAGAGGCAGAGACAGTAATTGAGCCAGGATGGCTGCACACATTGAGGTGGGCCCAGGTTAAGGGGTAAAGAAGTGGTGCAAAATGTTGGCATTGCCAGCCAGCACCCAACACAGGATTTTGCATATGTGGAAACCCAGCCATCCCCCAGACTATAAAAACCTCACTCGGCAATTACAAAAGGGCTGAAAAATCTTTTCAGCCTCAGTAGTCTGTACAGAATACATCTCAACCCATAAGGAATAGCAAGAACCATGAACATACTTCTCCCTGTCCACCCTTACTGGCACAGCCTTGTAGAGGCAGCTGGGTCAACTCAGAGTGGCTCTGCTGGTGGCTTCTGGCTACAGGAATGTGGCCCTGGGAACATGCAGGCAAGCAGACCCATAGCCTGCCACTTCTAAACCGTGGGAGTGGTGCCCAAACATTGTGGCCACCAGGCTGTAAATAGGATGACCACCTTCTTGGAGAAGACAGAGGATTTTCCATGGTTGAGTTGACATCTACCTCACACAGATCCTGACACCCCAGCAGTGCAGGTAAGAGAAAATAAAAACTTGTGCTTCAGCACCACCTACTGGAAAACAAAAAAGAGGCCTCTGCTTATGAACTTGTTAAATACCTGAGGGTCAGACTCTAAAAAAATTTATTCTCTTTTTTTGGTGTTGAATTTTATAAGTACTTTATAAATTTTGGATTTTAACCTGGTGTGGTGATTGCAGGGAGGAAGGGGGTGTGGGGAAGTGAAAGAGGGTGTAAGGGGAATAAATGGTAATGGAAAATAATACAAAAAATAAAAAATAAAAACAAACAAAAATGTTTTCATTTTTACACATGCCTGTGTGGAGATATAATCCATCAATCACAATGAAAAACCAAAGTAAGAAGGGGTTCAGGGAAAAATTTTTAAATCTTCAGAAAATAAACTTAAATACATGGAAGACTATGATTAAAATAACAAAGAATTCAAAATTGCAGTTCTGAACAAAAAAGGGACAAGGAAATTCAGGAAAGTACTTCAACAAGCTCAGAAATAAAATGAATAAAAATATACTTTACCAAAGAGATTAAACTATGAAAAAGAACCAAACAAATTCCGGAGCTTAAGACCACTGTATATGAAATGAAGAATAAATTAGCAAGCTTGGGTAATAGAGCAGACCAGATAGAGGAAAGAATAAGTGATAATGAAAATGGAAATTTAGAAATGACTTGAGTGGAAGAGAGAAAAAAATAATGAAAAATAACAAAAAACTCCCCACAGAACTTGAGAGCTCTGACCAAAGTAGAAAGAACAATATAAAAATAATAGGTATACAAGAGAAAAAGAGTATGAGAATGGAACAGAGAAACAATTCAAACGTATCAGTAATTTATAAATCTATGGGAAAAACTGGATCTTCATCCAAGAAGTTAACAGAACACCTAACTATCTTAGTCCAAAAAAGCCTTCTCCAGGACCTCATTGCACAATGCTAGTATATCTGACTTAAAAAAATTTTTTCCAAAACACATCATATTAAAACAGTCAAAAAGTAATGGCAGAGAATTTTCAATACATCCATGGAAAAGAAGACAGTAACCTGTGAAGAAAATCCCATTAGATTATTATTGGATTTTTCAATAGAAACCCTATAAACTAGGAGAGACTAAAATCAAATATTCAGATTATTGAAGGAGAGAAATCACTAGCCAAAAATAGTACATCCAGAAAAGTTGTCCTTTAGATATGAAGGAGTAATAAGTGCTTTTCCAAACGTACAGAGGCTGGGAAAATTTACCATCACAAGTCCTGCATTACAAAAAATTTTGAAGGTGCTCTTCTACCTAAAGAAAAAGACAAATTAATACAAAACTGTGAGTAAGGTGAGTAAGAGACAGAAGCAGGAAATTGCAAACCTTGTTTAAAATAGAGAACTATACCCTTAAATATAAAGGTTAAATGAGGTAAAAAAAAATTTTAAATACTTACTGCAATTTGGAAATGAATGCACAGCATAAAAAGGAATAATTTGTGGGAACAAAAAGATAAAGGGGAAGAAAAAACAATAGACCCTGAAGAAGTAAATGGAAGTAGATGCAATCAGAAGAAAATGGACTACTGTATATATGAAACTTCTGTTTGCATTAACCTAATGGTAACTACAAAAAATAAAATCTAGAACAAAGACATGTGACACAAAGACAAAGAAATCATTTAAGAAAAACCCTCAAAACTTATACCACCAAACTGAAAAAACAAATACACAAGAGAAAAGAAACAATGGAGACACAGAGCTACCAGAAAACAAAAGATAGAATAGCTACGGATAATCCTCATACATCATAATCACCCTAAATATGAGTACTAAACTAGCCAATGAGAAGACATAGAGTAGCAGGATGCATTAAAAAAACAACAACAACTATACACTACCTTCAGGAGACCCATGTGCAGATGTGAAGACAAACCTAGACTCAAAGTGATAGGGTAAAAAATATTCCAAGCAAGTGGCATCTAGGGAAAAGTCAGTGTAGCTGAACTTTTATCAGAAAAAAATAAATTTCAAACTAGGAAAGGTAACAGGACTAAAAAAATGACATTTTTACTGATAAAAGATACAATACATCAAAAAGATATAACAGTTATTAATATATATGTACCCAAGCCCTTGCTGGTGTAGCTCAGTGGATTGAGCACAGGCCTGCGAACCAAAAGATCGCGGTTTGATTCCCAGTCAGGGCACAGGCCTGGGTTACAGGACAGCTCCTAGCAGGGGCCAGTTCCCAGCAGGGGATGCACAAGAAGCAACCGTACATTGATATTTCTCTCTCTCTCTCCTTCCCTTTCCTTCTAAAGATAAATAAATAAAATTTAAAAAAATTTTTTAATGTTAAAAAAAGCCCTGGCTGGTGTAGCTCAGTGAATTGAGCACAGGCCTGTTAACCATACAACCACGGTTCGATTCCCAGTCAGGGCACATGCCTGGGTTGCAGGCCAGTTCCCAGCAGGGGCCAGTTCCCAGCAGGGAATGCATGAGAGGCAACCATACATTGATGTTTCTCTCCTTCTCTCCTTCCCCTGTAAAAGATAAATAGATAAAATTATTTAAAAATAAATAAATAAGTTAAATATATACCCAACCTAGGAGCACCAAAATATATAAAGCAATGACTTACTAAACTTTAGGGAGAAACTGACAAAAACATAATTATATAGAAAATCTAAATATCCCATTGGTATCAATGGATAGAGTATTAACATTGAAATTCAGTAAATATTGGCTTAAATGACACATTACACCAAGTGGACATAATTGATATTGACAGAGTTTGTGATCCAAGAACACTAGAATATACAATCTTTTTTAGTGCAAATGGAACATTCTCAATAATAGACCATGTGTTGAGGCACAAAACTTGCCACAAGAAATGGAATAAGACTGAAATTATCGGTGGAAAGGGACTGGGCTCAGCCCTGAGCAGTATGACTGTTGGTTGAGGGTCCTCCAGGGAAGAAAAGGTTGCTTTTCCCTCCAGGGAAGAAAAGTCAAGGCACATGCCTAGGTGACAGTTTCGTTCCCAGTGGGAGAGCATTTGAGAGGCAAACAGCTGATGTTTCTCACATCATTGTTTCTCTCTCTTTACCTCTCTTCCTCTGCTCTAAAAATAAATAAAATCTTTTAAAAAATAGAAAAGGGACTGGGCTCAAAGTGGGTCTGCCTTGGGCCAGTCTGTAGTGTATAAGTTCTTTACTTCATGTATGAGTCCAGCTGATTTTAAGAATAGGTTTATTAAAGCTAGGAACAGTGAAACTAAGGAAGACCTTAGTGTAGAAGCAGCAACAGGAGAGATCCTAGGCAGTGCTCTGCATTGGCTACCTAAAAATGTTATGGAAAAGAAGTGAATGAGCTAAAGCAGGGCCACTGTTAGCTCACTGGAAAGTAAAAAGTCACAGTGACAGAAGTGAGCCATGGCAGGGCTGCTTTTAGCTCACTGGAAAGTCAGAGAAAAAGGGAGCCTTGGAGACAAAAATCAGGGATTAGCTATTGCTACCCACTGCTCTCCTGCTTGCAAATCTCTTTGAGACCCTTAGATTTTAGAAGAAAGTAAAAAATTGATGCTTGAAAAGTGACATGAGTGTGCACCTGAGAGAACCCATGCCAGTATCCCTTGTCTTGAGGCTTTTATCTCCCTTTTTCAGGTGAGAATCTTAGGGGAGGGTTTTAGCAGAATATTCATCAGCTTTCTAGGTGCATTTTTAAAATGTTGACATATCAAAATATGCATATAGGGGAGTATAAAGCTTCACTGCTTTACTTTTATCTTGGGTATATATGGCTGTAGTCAGGTTTCTATTACTTGTCCCCCTGACTTTATTCATCCTTGCTTTTGGCTGGCACAAATGGCATTAATTGGATCTCTATCCTCTATCTCTCTGAACAGGTTGATTTAAATTATTTATTCTCTAGTCAGGGAGGAGAGGTACAAACCATTCGTTCTTAAGTCCTTGGTTGGTGAAGATAAGGTCTTGTGATTCTTTAGCTAGCTATAAATTGATCAAATTGTTTGGTCTTGTTTAATTATCTTCTCTTAGTTTCCCCATTGCACTTGCCAAGGAATTATTCAAACTTCTTACTATCATGCCTCAAAGTCATACCAAGCATATTATCTGGCCACCATGAGTTGAAACTGAAAATCAATGGCAAATAAAGTGGGAATGACCACAAATATGTGGAAAATAAACTACATGCTATGAAACAATGAATGGGTCAAAGAAGAATTAAGAGATCAAAAGATACATAGAAAGAAATGAGAATGACATTATGACAAATCAAAATTTGGGCAATACAACAAAAGCAATAATAAGAGGAAAGTTTATATCATTGCAGTCCTATGACAATAAACAGAAAAAAAATCTCGAATAAACAAAGCCCAAACAAAGTTAGTAGAAGGAAAGAAAGAAATAAAAATTAGAACAAAATTCAATGAAATAGAGAAGAATAAGACAACAGAAAACAATGCAATAACAGGGATTCTTTGATAAAATTAATAGAATAGACAAACCTCTGGCTAGACTTACTAAGAAAATTAATTAATTAATTAATTAATTAAAGTTAGGCTGAAAAAATTTACTACAAACACCTGAGACATGCAAAGAACTATACGAGAATAGTACTAGAGTCCTTATACCACCAAATTGGATAACCTAGAAAAACATGAACAAGTTTTAAGAAATAGGGACTTCCACCATGATGGAGACATAGCTGGAAACACTGTACCTTCTCGCACAACCAAGTTTAAAGACAACAAAGTTTTAGTAACAAAAAATGCAGCCAAAACACAGAAAATTGAACTATACAGAAGTCTGACAAAAACGAACCCTTCAGCCCAA